AAGAGGAGGAAGAGGAAGAGGAGGAAGAGGAAGAGGAAAAGAAGGAAAAAGTATCATTTATTAAAAGCACAAATAGTCGGTGAAGTGAGTCGATAAGTAAGTTTTCAACAAGCATAAATTGAGAATGGAAAAAAGAAGCTTTGTCTGTGTGTAGAGATGATGATGATGATGATGAACAATACAAAAAAATTGCCAGCTGACAATAATTTAGCAATTGGCTTACTTGAATGATTAATTGAAAATGATAAAATAAATGAACTTTTATCAACCAAACGTCTCAATCAATAGATAGTTTTCTGATAATTGTTTCTCAAAAGCATACATTTTTTCATCATCTTTTTACGATATATTACCACTATGAATGATATTATTTCAATTTTGAATGTGAAAAAAAAAGAAACGATAAAAATGAAATAATTGAAGTGAAGCAAAATTTTAAAAAAATTTTTTTTTCTAGATGACAGAATAGATTAAAAATTTTTGTCAAATATTCAATTTTAACCATAATCCTTCCTCAATTGCTTCCTTTTTCTCCCCTTTTACAGCTTTCAAAACTTCATTTTTAAAAAAAAAAAAAATTCTTTTCATGGAATTTAGCAATGATAAATTATGCTTGAATTGAATAAAATGATAAGATATTACGAAAAAAGAAAAAAAAATTATAAGACAATACATATATATTTATTCATCCAATACATTTCTATTCTTCAATTCGCTACTTTTGTTGCGTAAATTTATTTTTTTTTAATTTTTTATTAATTTTTTTCATCTAAAAATAAAAATAACATATATAATTTATTGGAAATTTAAAGAGTACATTTATTAAATAGTAAATGATAAGTGACGTTTTATATAATTATCAAGTAAATATCAAATAATTATCAAGTAAAATTATGCTTGAAACGAGGCTGCTATCACTCCAAACTTAAGTACATTTTTCAAACAATTATCTTTAGAATATAGATAGATAATTTCCATATTGTATAAATTTCCAATAAATTAAATGATAATTATTAATTGAAGTGAAGCCAAACAGTTCACTGCAAATTATAAATCAATCATTTTAAACATTAAATGAAACAACGCAACAGAATACTAAAAAACTAATGGAAAGCGAGTAAATTAGTAAGATAAAGTTGTAAAACTAATACTTAACTTGGTATCTTCAAAAGCAAAATATTCGTTTACTTTACTTGTAACTGAAATAGCTAATAGGAAATGATAGTGTTAATATATTAGTAAGCGATTTCATATGCAAATTATTTGAGCATTTCTTCTATCTCAAAATGATAAATGCATGAAATGTATAAAAAAGCTATAAAAAAATTAAATCCTACTGCACTTATGCAAATTACCACAATTTTTCAAGCTCATTTTAAAAATTTCCCGTAATTTTGCTTTCTTCTCCTCTTGCGAATCAATTACCAATTTCTTCTATTGAGGATGGAAAAAAGTTTTTAAAAAATTTCCTCTCAATGTTTGAAATTTAAACAAAATTTGACCTGAACATATCATTTCACTTGATTTGATTAATTTGTTGCAGTCAGGAAGAGATGAAACAAAAAAGATATTGTTAAAGCTTAAAGTGAAAAAAAAAAACTTTTGAATCATTTAACTTTATCTCCTCTTATCGATTCATTTTTTTTAAACAATATTTCTACGCAAAATTACTAATATACTTCGGATAATTTACTTTAAACTGACAATATCTTTACTAATATTACATATATACATGCATATCTTTACTCAAAATCATCGAAAAATTTCTGGCCATTTACTTCAATTGACGTCATCAAATCATTATTATAAATATTTCATCAAAAAAAAAGAAGAGAAGAGAAAGAAAAATTCCTACCACTTATTTTTCAAACAATAGAATAATGAATTCTTTGAACTTCTACCATATTAATTCAAATTTTAATTAAATTATCATTTTAGACAATTCGAAAATTGATTTTATTTCAATCAAACAAATCGTTTAATATTTTGGATTATAGCTAAATTAGCTAAATTACTAAATGAACATTTTATCGGTAGTTGTTGATTTTAAAAAGATGAGAATTTTAAAAAAGTGCCAGAAGAGATGACTGTATGCTCTAATGAAATGTAACATTTTACATATATTATCATACGAGCAGTCATTATTAGCATTTCTATAAAATGTAAACTTTCTGCATACAACTAACACTAATTGTGGATTTCATTCTTTTTTTTCCATATAAATGATTATTCGCATTATTCATAAAGCTGTTAATAATTTCAGCAAGCCATTTTTAAATCTACATTTAAGTTTATTTATTTCGAAATTATTACACGAAAAGATTATGTCTGAAAATTCCCATTAAATCAAAATTATGCAATTGAAATAAAAATAAATTCAAAATTGGCAAATAGCAAATATCAGTTAAAAAATGGGATCAAAATAAAAGCGATGAGAATCGATTAGAATGAATCACAATTGACAATTGTATAATGAAAGTTTCCATCAGGCTATGATGCATGCTAAATAAAAAAAAATCGTTTAAAAAGAGATGAAAATGTTTGCTTGAATGAGATTTAATAGCATTAATGATAAAATTAGTGATTAGCATTGAATGCATGGATAGTGATAGTGGTTGATAATGGATGTTATCAGTTAGTAATCTGTAATGCATCTTACATATGATCGTTATTATCATTTCATATTAATGTTATCACTCATTACATTTGTGAACTTTGTACTTTCTTTTTACCGGCACCATTATAATTTTTCGTAGTTATCAATGATATTTTTCTTTTTTTTTCATCATATCATTGGTAATTTGCTAGAAATCGATTTGCTGCTAACAAATTTCTGTAGCATCAAAGATTTCTATATCAGATTTTATCATTATCACTTCGTACTAGCAACATTAATAATATGCTAATTTATTATCAATCAAGTGGTATAATTTATATCGTAAAAAATTCCGTTTAAATATATAAACGAAAAAAAAATTAAAATTTAAAATATATAATTTAAATTTAAAATATCAGTGAAAACTTCTTGTCTTCGTCATTTGGCGCATAATAATATCTCATCAACTGCACAACCAACACTTCAATTAGTTCCATTTCACATAAAATTATTACGAAATGCGAGATGGGCGGTAAAATTCAAATGCAATGTGTCATTCACATTAATGATGCATGACAACGAATGAATTTATGAAATTTTGTGTAATTATAATGCATAGGACATTTGAAAATAATTGTAATAGTGATCAGCAAAAGTTCAAAGATTTCATTTGAAGAAAATACATCATAAAGTTAACAGATGATGAATTTGACGATAAAGAAGGAGTAAGTCTTAAAATTTTTATTAAAAGAGTATTTAGTTGGTAACAATGAAATTGTGATCGTTTTTTGGACAGATGAACAGAAAGATACGGAAATGATTCATGGAGGTAAACATTAAGGAATGATAAAAAAATATATGAAAATGAAATTAATTTAAGCTTTCCTGAAACGTTTTGTATTTTGTTTGAGTGAAATCTTAGATGGATTGCACGCAAAGAGATCGAATGAAATATAAATTGCAAATTAATTTATAAATTTTACTGCAAATTTACGAACAAAATATGAAAGAAAAACCTATTTGAAATGATTGTGTATTAAAAATAAACTGTCCTTAAGGCTGTAATTATTATAAAAAGAAAATTAAATGAATTAAATGCAATACGAATGGAATGGAAATGAAGAATGAAGGTGGATATATTGCAAAATGACCCCTGACTTTTATTTGCTGCTGCGATATGTTTCGATTTATCGATCATCTGATGACGAGACAAGATCTTGTGCAAAGACTTGATAACCTGAAGAGGTGTAATACAATTACAAGGGATTGGCAAGAAAGACGAATGAATATGATAACAGAACGATTGCTTACAATCCTTGCCTTCCATATTTATCAGAAATATCGATGCTTACATTTGTTGTTTACTCGTTGTCAACGATAGCAAAGCATATTATTTACATATGTTAATTAATTAATGCTTGAAATATTTGATGAAATTATATTAAGAAAGTAAGTTTCGTTTGGTTTTTTCTAGGTAGAAATTTGAATTTTAAGTTTCATTTTTATTAATTTCTTCATTCGAAGTTGACATCAAAAACTCTACTAGTTTTATGTTGAAATTAATTTTAATTTCATTCGATTTAGAAAACGATTAATTTCAATGGAGGAAGCAAATTATTTAAGCAGAAATTTACATTCTAAATTCAGTACAGAAAATTGTTTATTGTTAACCTATTGCAATTAAGCATTTAAAATATTTATTAAATGAGAGCCAAATACAATTGGAAATTAGCCGGAACATTGGTTTAAGCGTGCCGTGATGTTAAGGATAATACTGCAGTTCATCAATTAGCTTATCACTTGCTCCTATATTATTTTAAATACTTTCATTTCACTTATAAATACCACACATACCCTACCACTTCAATGCCTTTTTTCAAAGTTTTATCAGTAGGAGTAATCAGCTTATCACCCAATAATTCACCCTTTATCTCATTAGTTAAAATCTTTTTGCGTTACGTGATAAGTAATCTATAAGATAGTTTAGGAGGGAAAAAAGAAAAATGTGAGGCATAAAATGGATCGCTTTTTCAAATTTTTTTGTTTGAGTAATTTAAATTTTATATTCTATTTTAACTAATTCCCATTGCAATTATCTGTAAAATAATTTCATCCAAACTTGACATGAAATCAATCTACTGATTTCTAATTATAATTACTTTCAATTTAACAATATTTCATTTAAAGAAAAAAAGTGTCATTTAAATGAATAATATTAGAAGAATTGACAGATAATTAGCGTCACTTCCTTCACAGCTAAAATTAACTTATTTTTTTGGAATCACTAAACTAATAATCTCGTCGGAACAATCAGTGTTTATGTCGTCAAATATTTATTTTTGAATATGTTTATTGGAAAACTTTTCTAGTTTCTGACAAGCAAACTGTTAAATTATTAAAATGTAAAAATACGAAAAAAATGATAAAATAGATTGAAATATGCAGAATAATAAGTTCCGTTTTCCGATGAACAATTTCAGATGTTTCGAATCTCTTTTTTACAATATCATAAATGATTTTAACAATAATGGAATGATTCGTTTAGTTTATAATTGAATGAAAATAGAGGAAAAAAAAAAAAGGTTACCGAATATTTTTCAAAATTTTGTCAAAATATTTAGCAAATATCAGTATAATTTGTCATTTATGATTAATTGATTATTCATTTACTTAATTGTAACTTCAAGCATTGATCTTTAATTTTGAATATCACAAAACTAAATGATACAATAGTTAATAATGCCATTTATTTCATTACAGATAATTTGCAAAAATAAATTTCTGCATCAATTAATAATTTCTAAAATAAATAAAATAAACAGGTAAAAAGAACTCTAAACATGATGAAGTTTATTTCAATGAATAATTAGAATAAATGGTATCAAGAAGAGGTGGTGGTTCAGCTTTTTGAAATTTTGAACGTATCTCATCCACTGACCAGTTCACTTCCAATGGTTCCATTAGAATGCTTCGAGTTTTCTTTCGAATTCGAACATTATTGCTCACTGTTGATTCACGTTGTTGCAACGGCATACGTGGTGGTACATCATTCCTTACGTGTATTACAGTTGCTTCAGTATCATTACACTTCTTAACCTCTTTTTTAATCATTGATTGCTTTGGTGATTTTGGTAAAATTCGATTAGCATTTGTAGCTTCTACGACCTTCCTGACCTCATTAGCTGTTGAATAACAAAGTTCAGCTTCCACTTTGCTATTATGATTATGATTTTCTGAATTAGACCTAATTGTAATATCTTTAAAATTATTAGCATCAGATTTATTGGGAATCAAATTAAGATCTATTACAGAAGCGCTATTTTGCTTCAACTCTGCTTTATGTGGTGGTGATTGTCTGGATATTAATTTTGATGCATTCGTTTCAGCACCACCAATATGTTCCGATGCACGTCGTACCAATAATTTATTATGCGTATTACTTGTACGAAGAATTGGTGATGCTATTACTGGCATCTGGAATGATTTCATTCCTAATAATGCACTTTCCGCACCATTATGATGTTGTTGTTGTTGTTGTTGTTGATGACGATGATATGTACTCGCATCATCAATATACCGGATTTTACCTTCCGGAAATGAATATTTACGTGTTATAGTATCACGAATACTAGATGGTCCAGGTTCATTAGTGGTGTTTTCTGATTGTCGTCTGAATGATTCACGTCGTGTTTGTGCAAGAAGAGATTCTTTACGTCGTATTACCGAAGAATATGAATTGGTTTCTAAATCTTTTCGTCTGATTAAAGGTGAATTTACGACGCCTTGTGCTTCCATCTCTCTTCGACGTGGTGGAAGTGGTGAAGCAAAATGAATTCCTGAATCAATCATTGGAATTGTTGTCTTTCTTTGCACGACAGGACTTTTGTCAGCACGTTTTGAACTACCTCTACGCAACAGAACTGGACTTTCGGGCAAATCTGTTGGTAGCAATGTTTGTAAGGTTGAATCGGAATGCAACGATGCTGTACTTATTGTTGAACTTTTACGTGCTAACAGTGGACTTTCTGGATCAAATATAACAGATTTCCGACTGGATGATGGACTACCATCTAAGGTATTTGATCGACGAAGTGATGCTGGACTTCCTTCAATTTTTCGTCGACATGGTGATGAAGTACCAAATTCTCGTCGAAATTTCCATTCCGTACATCGTTTGTCACCATTTTCATCATTAATAATTGTATTTCGTCTGGATGAATTTGAACAAATTGATGGACCACGTGAAAACGACTTTTCTTCAATTTTTCTTTTCGCCCCATTTTTTTCCCATTTCCATAATGGTGTTATTGATTTATTTTGTACATCAGAATTTTCACGTGAAAGTACTGGAGTTTTATCATCATCTTCCGGTTCCACCTCCGTACCAATTTCTTCCTCCTCCTCTTCACCTTCTGTTGAAATGCTACTACTATTCACAAAATATCCTGAAAAATTTTTTCTCTCTTAAAAAAAACCAAATATATCTAATTCTGTTTTAATTCCCACTTCTCTCGCTCTCTTCTCTCTCTCTCTTCTCCTTTTTCTTGTACATATTCAAGATATTGAGAAATGTAATATCAGTGAAGGCTGCTATATCATTACTGCATTGATAAGCATAATTAAACATACTATGATGAACAGAAATTTTCTTCTAAAAATAAAATACAAAGAATGCGGGAAATTTTTGAAAATTTAGAAAGTATTATTGCTCATAATTCTCATAATTCCTTTTATCTTATGTGATAAAGTTATCATTGATTAGAGTAACTTTATGACCTAGTCAAAAAATAAGTTTATTTTATTATAACCTGAAGATGATGTTCGTAGAGGACGATGTTCCCATTTGCTATAAGTTAACTTGGGTGATTGTGATACACCTAAGGAACAACTGGATGCGGGTGATTCAACTACACCGGAATCCGAATTGCTAACCGATGTTTCCAAGCATAAATCAACATCCGATAATCCTTAAAAATAAATACTTTCATTTATTTCACACATTTCACGTTGAAATTAAACCTTCATCAATATTTAAACTTGTTGAATCTTTTTTTGACTGATCTAATTGAGAAATATTAACAAACCGGAATCATTGGAAACAGATGATGAGATAGCAAATTGAACATCCTTGAACGGTTCAAGAAGGAACGGTGCATTAACAATAAGATATTCCGCTAAATCTGGTAACCAACTTGTAGCCGAATCTCCTTCTCCAAAAATAACATAATGATTAATATTTTTTTCAAAAATATACGGAAATTTAATTGCAAAATAGGAAACAATCCGGAAATTTCTCTATCACAACTTTGAAATGATTAAAAACATACTTGAAATATCATTTACTTAATAATACTTTTTTTTTGTTCCGAACTTTCAGCCTGTAAGGTTAGGTTATTTGGTTATGCAAAAATATCTTCCAATAAATATCAAATGAAAGTGAAAGATTTACATAAACATTTCCTTCCCAATTTTTGCTTTCTTAACCTGGAATCTATTTTAATTCATTTGCTCAATGAAATTATCTTCGAAGTGAGTAGACAAGCTTAGATAGGTCTCGGTCTTTTTATGCTATGGAAAGATTATGTCAATTATTGAACCGATGATAAATGGGAATACAAAGTTTTTAGACTGAAAAAAAAAATCCACAACGACAAAAGTTTCGATAAACTTACTTGGATTGTCAAGAAGGCTGGGTGCAATACAAACAGCTAATGATTGAGCGGTCATTTTGGATTGCGGTGAATTTGCAATAGCTCGAAGTAATCGAAGAAATTTGGAGAGAAGAGCGGAATGTGCAGATGGTAGCATATGCAACAATCTTCGCACAGCTTTTTGACAGTCTAACGTTTGTTCCATTGCTGATGCCCATAACTCGAAATTTCCCGATAGCAATAACTTCCCAGGGATTTCTCGAAGATATTCCTGAAATATGAAAAATTGAAAACGAAATTTTTTATTCAGGCACGCTCAATTTCCAATTCTAATCATTTTTTAATTACAGATATTGGTAAGAGAATTATTAACCATAAATGCTATTATGCTAATATGATTACCTTTAGAAGGGCAGCGGTAACATGTGGATTAAATTGATAGAAATCCGGTACTGAACCACGATCAAGTTGTGCTCGTAGCATACGTACAGTACTCTGTTTGGGTGATTTCCGAAACAAACCTTCGATGTCCACTCCGTGAAGCATCAAATGGTCAATCATTGTTAGCACTGGTTGTGGTGGCGATGAACCCTCCAATGGTCGTCCAAAGAAACGTCGAGACTCTGATCGACTTAATACACGCCTTGAATATAAAATACTACCAAAATTGGAATTATCCAATTAAATTATCCATTTTTGAAATTAGATTTTTAAATTTTAAAATGAAATAATGACTTTAAAAAATAATAACTTTAAAAAAACTTTTTCTTCCTTAAAATGACAAAAAATTTTTTCTGAGATAAGAAATATCCAAAGTTTATCAGATTTTTTTTTGCTATTTAGATCAATTTTAAATAAATTCAAAATTATACTTGAAATGTGAAACAATGGAAGATGTTGATGAGTGACTGTTGCCAGCAGAAGCTAACACTAAGCGACATTGAATTAACGATAATGCATCGATCTTTTCCAGTTGTATTTCAGATAACCGATAACCGGTATTCTTAACATGTTCCATCACAATACAAAAGACACATTCCGGTCCTTGTAATGTACTTATACCATCTCCATTACCCGCATCAAATGATAATTCCACTTCTTCCTCCACTGGTATAGCTAATTCATCAACAAGTTCGCGCAAAATTTCATTCGTCGTTTGTGACATGCCAATTTTTTTCTTCATCACCTAAAGCAGTATCAGGCTCATTTCATTAACAGTATCAGGCTCATTTCACTACGAGTTTTAACATGTCAGGTCATTTCATTATCAGGTCAGTGCATCAGGTTTAATCCATTGCGAATACCATGTTTATTTGAACTTCTAAGAAAGAAGAGGTAATGATTGATATTTGTTATTATTGATTTAATTTGCAAACTTTTTACAATTTTAATCCCTTCTTCAAAATCGAAACGATTGCATAAAAGATTAAATGATAAAAACAATCCTTTATCGTTTTATCATTGATTTTCGTCAAACAGAAATGCGCAAATGTGTTTTACTCTTATCGTTAAACAATCTATCTTCATTCCCTGATACTATGAAAATATTTTAATCAACTATCAATCTAATCGAATTTTCTATGTTAAAATGAATGTTTTAAATTTTTATTTAACAGCAGAAAATGACTTCGTTCTTTTTTTCTCAAATTGAAAAATTTAATTTCACGCCAAACAATGGACAAAGAGCAATTAAAAGATAAAATGATGCATTTTAGTGAGAGAAATCTGAAAGATACTGTTTGATTATGTATTGTGTAAAAGATTTTTCTAATCAAATGAAAATTTCATCATTCATGCGTAATAATTTATGTCAATTTGGTAATTAAGCAAAAGATTGAAAAGAAATACTGAAAGAAATAATGGATAATTATTGAACTGACAATAATTAACAATGCAATTTTCGAATATATCCAATTTCCATTTCTATTTCAAATCTTCCACACTACCTGTGTACGTCCATCGATTAGCACTGAAACCGGGATCGTCGTAAATCTGGGTGAAATTTTTGCACGACTTCGTAATATTCGTTGTTGCAATAGTATTTCCCATTCTCGTTTCTGACCTTCTGTTCTATAAGTTATCATATACACACAAATATTCTCATATATTTCTTATTTTTTCTGAGTTTTTCTTTTTTGAAATGCTAAATTTAAGGATTCAAAAGAAATAAGATTTTATTAAAATTTACATAAGCTAATGATCGAGAATTTATATTTCCACTATTAGTTATTAATTCTGTTTTCCACAAATAATTTCCTTCCAATTACTCTTTTCATCAATCCGATTAATCTTTCACAGATTCTTCCGCCCCAACGAGCTTCGGGAATTCTGATTCCCTTTTCTGCTCGTTCATTTCTCCTATCACTTTTATTTTCCATCCGTTTTATCTCATATCCGTAAATTAATAATACTTTGAGCAACGTAACAGTTAGTCAATCGTTACGAAAGATTCTTTTGTAACGACATATTCAATTACAATTAAGGACAAAAGTTTCCCGAACGATATCACTATAAAAAGAGACTTCGATAATCTTTGCTTCACCATCTTCAATCTGAAACTTTCAGACTCGTAATACCTCATCTCGGGTATCAAAAATAATTATTGAATTCTCTTTTTATGAAGATATCATTAGGGAATTGTCTTCGTGATTGTGGTCAAAAATGCAAATGAGTCTATCAGTAATAATTTTTATTCGCTAACAAATACGTTGGTTGCACAAAGTATTAACTTGTAAGTATGAGATGAAATGAAAAGAAAATGAAAATGATTGGAGAAATGAGTGAACAGTTTGAACGAGAAAGAAAGGAAGAGTTTAGTTCCAAGCCTTTATGTGTTGAAGCTGTCAAACATTGCATAAGAATGGCAAAATGATGGAAAATTTTGCAAGCACTGACATACTCATATAATTCTATTATAGCTATGCGGATAAAAAGAGCTACTTTATATATTTACAATAATTTAACCATTTAATATAAACTTAGTTTTAAAATAGAAGAACTGAAAGAATATATACATATATAATTTGATTATTTAGATATAAGAAAAAAATTTTATAAAATTATCTCGGTTTTCCTCACAGATTTTAGATAGGCAATATTATAGTTTTCATTAGACTAAAAAATTAAAACTAAAAAACTAAGGATAAATTTCCGAACAGGAATTGCTAAAACGAAAAAAGAAATCCATTTAAAAGAGAGTAAAATGAAAAAAAAAATGATGCAAACTGGATTAAAGGACAATATATAAGAAGTAGAAGAAAAAAAAATAATAATTATATTAATTATGATTAATACGAAAGAAAAGAGACAAACTAACGCAAAATGAGCGATGAAATTATAAATTGGCCATCCAATGAGAAAGGAATGTGGGCAATCATTTGATACCAACCAAATTCGATCCAAACGAATTTTTTCTTTCAACTTGTAACTATTCGCTGCTCTATAAAAATACTTATGGAATGAAGAAGAAATAACTAAATGTATGATAATTATTAGCACAATTAACAATTACATACATAAATTACTAGTACAATAACGAATATATATAATAATTAATAGTGCAATTAATAACTATATAATGTTTTTTGGGTAAATGATACATTTCATTTGCACTATCAATATGAAACAATTGAACTGTTCGACTATTTAACTATCAAAAAATAATGCTAATAATTCCCAATTATATCGTAGCAGTCGATATTTCTGTATTTTTTAATGCACTTTTTTTTTTTTGTAAATACGGTGCAGTGCTTCTTTATGCTTTGTTATCACAAATTTCATATTTAAAGTTTATTTGAATCATTGCTACTAATACCATCTGAAAGTGACATGTGAAATTGAAATTTAAATGTATGAAATTTTATTAAATGTACGATATATTTTATGATTAAAATTTGACTTCTTATTTGAAAATTGCAAATATTTCACACATCCCTAATATCATTGGACATTTAATTTCATCGAAACTTTGAGATTTGTATTATTATGTTGTTATTGGTATTGCTGTTATATATTGGCATTTGATGCTGTACCTGATAACAGGTATGGTAGGCTCACTAAGCCGACTAACACAAATTTGGGTCGTTAACGTACGGGGTGATTGTCAAGTAAGATTAAAATGGATGGATGCAATGGATGAACCCTTCTTTCCCCTCTCCGCAACTAACTGTCCTTTCGTTACAACCTGTCGCATCTGTCTCCTCTCTTCTG